CGCGGGGCTTCTCCTGAGCCTGAGCACCCACAAAGCCAGAGAGGAGGCCAGTGGGCTGTCCTGGAGTCTGAGGCTATGGCCAGCCAGCCCTGTCCAAGGAGGCTGACAGGTGGCTCTGGGTAGTTGGGGAGAAGCACCCCCAGACCAGAGTTTTGGGGTACAGGGTGGGTTCAGGTGCTGTTGCCCTGCTCCTGCTCAAAGAGCAGCATGGCGAGCTGGGTGCGGGAGCCCAGGCCCTCCAGCACACTCTGGCGACAGCGATGGTACAGGTCCTCGCTGAGCCGTGCACTGCACGTCTGGGCCCGGTAGTGCTGCAGCAGCGCCGGCTCCACCGCCCGCAGCACATGCAGGCTGGAGAAGCGGAGGAACAGCTCGTACACGTCCATGCTCTCCAGGAGCTCCTCCTCCTGCTCTGAGGCCGCTGCCAGCTGCCCTCGGGCCGCCACATAGTCAGAGTTATAGAAGCAGGCCTCACTGGCCGCCTGGCGGTCAAAGTGGCCTGTGTCTCGGCCCAGCTCCGGGGGTCCCGGGCCCTGTGGTGGGGCCACGGCTGGGTGGAAGGCCTGGAAGTGCATGGGAAAGAAGGCCTGCCAGCCGGAGATGGCGTGCATGCGGCAGCGTCCATACAAAGGTCATTTCCAGACTAGGTAGTAGATGCTGTAACATGCGTGGACAAGGGAAAAACCTATAACTACACTACCGGGTCTAAGAAGGTTTCACAGAGAAGGCAGCAATTCAGCTGAAACTCAAACGCATAAAGCCACCGGGTGCTTCTTGGAGAGCAGATCCATGAGGCGCAGTGGTGAGGGGGCGGCTGTCTGCACACTGAGCCAGGGTACCCGGGCACCGGGGAAACGCTGCTCTAGCTCTGCCACGTGGGCCTTGACAGGTGCGAAGACATCTGCATGGGCTGCCCGCTGGGCCTGTCGTGGCTCATATAGCAGCAGCAGGGTCAAAGCGGCTGCAGCATCGCCAGGCTCCAGAGCTGCTGTGGCGAAGGCCTCCAGGAAGCCAGGGGCCAGGTCACGCTCCGCCGCGGCCAGAGGCAGTAACACAGTGAGACGTGAGGCCTCGGTGACGTAGGGCACAGGCAAAATCTCCACGCGGCTCAGTGGCCGTAGCAGCTGCACCCGGTGAGTGAGGGGCCGGCGGCCACCCTGGGGGGTCAGCGCCTCCAGCTGCAAGTCCAGTGTGTACTCCATACCCCGAGCAGGATCAAAGCGACGGTAGCCATTAATCAGCTGCTGCTTCTGGAGCTGCAGAACTGGGTGGTAGCGGCGGTTGAGCTCCTCCAAGGCTGCCCCCAGGACATCGGCCACATCGGCCTGATCAGCCCCACGCAGAGGGCAGCGGGGCGAGCCGTCAGCACAGGAGAAAGCATGCTGCTCAGTGAAATAGTCCCAGCGCAGCACCTCGAAGCGGGAGGCTGGGCGGGATGGTGCTGGAATGCCCACGGGCCAAGCGGCTGCTCGCTCCCCATCAGCTGCCAGACGGCTGGTGTTCTGGATCTCCCACTGGGTTGGAGAAACAGACTGTGAGCAAGGCAGAGACCCAGGGGCCAGCTGGGGGACTGGGCAGATGGCAGGTGCCACTCGGGATGGGTCCTGTCCCCTGCCAACGTCTGCCTTCCAATGCCCCTACTTAACCTTTCCCCAGATGGAGGCAGCCTGAGAGCCAAAAGGGGGGTTTCTGGAGGGGCTTCTCAGAATGGACAGAAAGAAACAGGGACAGGAGGCAGATGTGTTCTGATTCTAGTGCTCATAGTTTATTTCCCTGGGATCTTGAAGACCTCACAGGACATGCCACCCTACCCCCGGCCCAGATCATACCTGCAATTCCTGGATCTCCTGGTATGTGCGTTCCAGCTCAGCTCGGGCAAAAGCCTTGTGCAGCTGGTACATGTGCACAGGGTCACGCACAGGGTAGGCGGTCAGGGCGCTGCGGAAACGAGGGTCCCCCTCCTGCACAGACTCCCCAGGACTCAGCTCCAGGTAGCTATAATGCACTCCCTGGGGAGAGAAAGAGTAGGGGTCCATAAAGGGAAGAATGATGGAACAGCCTCTCCCCTCACCTCCTAGTGTGTGTCTCATTTCCCCACCCTATGACCTGTTGTGGACTTGCAATCAGAATTGTGGTTTTAAGTACCTTAGCTGGTTGTCAGCTTGTGTGTGACCTTGGTCAAGCCTCTGCTAGTTCATCTAGGAAATGGGTATGCATCCTATCTCAGGCTCAAATAAAATAATAATTGCCAATACTGAACACCTACTATGTGCAAAGCTCTCTTATTTTTTTTCTAATCCTTATAACAACCCTGAGCGATAATTGTTTCCATTGGTATGGATGAGGATACTGCCATCCAATGGAGGATACTCCATTACTCAGGAGATTCAGTAATTTGCCCAAGGTCATAGGGATAGAAAAGGGCAAAACTGGCATGGAAATCCAGGCCTGTATCTCCAACCACCTCTTTGCCTCTCAGGGGAAGTACACAAGCTCAGATAGGAGGCACCAGTGGGGCGGCTTATCTTCTCACCTCGTGGTCACCAGTGCAGCCCACCCCTGTGGCATCGAGGATGCAGCGTCCCAGCCACTCATCCGGACGCGCACTGACGATGTCGTTGCGGCAGCCTTCCAGATGGGGGCGCAGCTGCTGCAGCAGGGTGCGGGACAACAGTACCCCAAAGCCTCCGTGGCAGTAGCGGCCGGGGGCAGGCTCTCCACCGATGAAGTCCTGGGGCCGGCCCAGATAGAGGTGGGCAGCAGCTGCCAGGCTGAGGTGGCCAGCTAGGCGCAGAAGTCCGTGGGCCTCGGTGTAGGTGGTATCAGGTACTAGGAAGAACCAGTCAAAGTCGTTGCCGTGCTGCTCCAGCAGGTGGCGTAGTGCCAGGTGTAGGTGGCCAATAGGCCTCTCCTCGCCCAATGTCACCACAGCCATGCCTGGTGGTGCCCTACGGCCCCGAGAGCCTGTCAGGAACACCACACGCTCTAGCCGGTGCCCCAGTGTGCGGTTCATGGCCACACCCATAGTGGACAACGTGGCCTGTGAGGTCAGCACTGCCACCAGCAGCTTCTGCCTGATGCCCAGCTCCGTGCTGATGTAGCGGGTCCTAGGGGAGAAGGCACAAGATTAGCAAAAAGACAAGGAGGACCTGGCCAATGTGGGTCAGTTGTTGGAGCGTCGTCCCTACACCAAAAGGCAGTAAGTTAGATTCCCAATTAGGGCACATAGTCGGGTGGTGGACTCCATCCCCAGTCAGGGCGCATGTAGGAGGTAAACTGGCTGACGTTTCGCTCTCTCCCTCTCTTTTCCCTTCCCTCCCTCCCTTCCTCTCTCGAAGATCAATATTTTAAAAACATTTAAGGAAGACAGGAGGCAGCATACATAGGCTTCCGCAGGTCATGTCCTCTCTGGGCCTGTCTCCTCACCTATGAATAGGATGAGAATAACATGTCTCTCCCAGGTGTCATGTGAATTTAAGTAAAATGTTAGTCTCGCCTACATAGTGCTTTTGGGAGATGGCAATATCCATGCAGATATGAGAGATACATTGTGGGTCTGATTCCCTGTTTCACTACTTAGTAGTTGTGCCCTTGAGCAAGTTATTTAGCGTATCTGAGCCTCAGTAGCCACATCTGAAAAATGGGGTTGACTGTATCTACTTAAAGCACTTAGGCAAATGCTTGACCCATAGGTACTCTACACACCGTGTGCACAGTACTCATTTCTATATAAATATGCCATTATACCACAAACACATCACAGAAATGATGTAATGGAATATATGGCATAGGGGTGTATTGAGTGTGTTTGGGGGAAGGGCAAGTTGGAGCTCAGGAGTTCCAGTAACTTGCCTTCCATAACACAGACCGTAAGTTGCAGAACTGGAATTTGAACTCAGGGTTGCCTAGGAGAATGACTTCAACTCCTGGGGAGGCATTATTGGGATGGCTACATCATTTCTCTCCCACAAAGCTCATCACGAGGTGTCCCACCCAGGAACAAGAGATACAGGTAAATCCTAGTTTTATCCTTTTTCTTTCCCTCTCTCTCTATAAATGCATTTTCATACCAATCATTTCTCTCAAACCAACAGCCAGTCAGGGAGCTCAGAGGAGATTTGGGGGACCAGGGAGTGGAGCCGGTTTAGCAAGCGCCTACCGGGTAGGTTCAGCCCAGAGAGGGCCTCAGACGGCTCCACGGCCGGGGAAGCAGGGCCATCGGAAGTTATCCGCCCCAAAGACTTCCTGGCCGGCCAGGCTCTTCCTTCCGGAGCCTGACCCGGCCCCGGCGGCGTCCCGGGAGAGCCTGTCCCGGCCTGTGCCCAGGGGTGGAGCTGGCGGGGCTGCTCCCTACCTG